TACTTTGGCTGCGACTTATGACGTTTCACAAGTCCACAAGAACACAAGTACAGACAAGAACGCAGATTGAGAAACAGCCCGGGGCCGGGTCGAAAAGTATTTTTTGATTAGGAAGGTTCCTAACTGAGTGAAGTGACCCGGATGAATTTCAGTGGCAGCCATGATAAGAGCTGTTCGAATTCTCTAAAAGCCTAGGGGGTAAGCCAGAGATCGGACAGTGAAGCCGACCAAAGCCTGCATGGAGGGATCCATGTTCTCAAACGATAAAATCCATTGACCACATTTAGCAAAATCCTTGCAGTACAGACCCACATTATGATACCTGAATAAGACTTACAATTATCCTACCTTCTTTCTTTTGGTTTGTTTTCTTTTGGCTTTGCTGTTTCAACACCGTTTTATGTTTCGGATTGTTGAAATAAGCTATAAAGTGTTTTCTACAATAAATTTAAAAAAAGAAATCACCGACCATGAAGGATAAAGGAATTTGATCACCATGTAAGTTACCATTGGATATTAGCCTAAGACTTTTATCTCTTTCTAAAGACGCATATCTTAAACACCTATCACAGAATTTCCCCTCTGGGATCAATAAAGTATTTCTGATTTCAATTCTGATTCTGAAACTGTCAACAATAACTGAGACCCATGCCAGCTGTTACTAGTCTTGTACCGTGATCAAAGTGAGGATAATGTTGCAGCGTGTAGCCTCACGTTATGTACAGCAGCCTTCACCAAAATCATTAATTCATTTTACTTCAGTCACAGATGCTGACACCCTCGCCTGAATAAAGCCAATGATCAAGCTGGATGACCTCTGTAGTAGTCGTTTCCCACACATTGATTTATTTGTGGCGGCCTGACACATTATCAACGCTCTTTTTTGTTAGGCTACTATTTAAAATGGGTAAAATCGTTTTTGATCACAGAGCTCTGTGCAGCGCACAATTCATTCAATTGTTTTACAATTAGGAAAAACTAGGAGGGAAGTGCCTGTTTCATTTGATAAGAAGGGCTGCACTGATGTTTCCAACGGTGGTTGTTGCTTGCATGCAATTCTCTTGTGCGGTCGTGTCTAGCAACTGACAACACAGTCGTGGCCCATGTAACGGTGCCCCTACCTATCCGGAGCCCTGGGGCGGGCCGCACCCATGCACCCACACTATCTCCAATGACTGCACGTCAACAGCTTTCTTTCGAAACCACACGGTTGTTCACAGATTTATTGATGCTGAAATGAAAAAACCCGTACGCAGGATACTTTACACATAGTTGGTAACAGCGAACAAAAAAGTTTACGATGAAAAATGCGCATAATATAGAAAGAAAGAAAGAAAGATACATGGCCGCAGTATTAATTCAGCCAGTATATCTAGAAAATCTGGGCTTAATCCGCTATCTTGGTTTTGTGAAGCAGCCCACTGGATTGGCTGTGATCGTCACAGCGCATGTGAAACTCTAATGAGAATGACACAAAATGGCCCACTATTTAGCCACTTACATACTTTACTGTCAAACCTTGTTATTGTCTAAATTGTTTCAATTGTGTTCTGTCGTTTTAGTAAAGATGATGTGGATGTTACCCATGTGATCTCTTGATCTCTTAACTGGAGCTTGTCTAAATGTGTTGAGCATTCATCTTGTCTTGGCCTTTATGGTAGCATAGTCTCCATTCTCATGAGAAAAGTAAACAGCATTGTCAATCAGAATGGGTAGTAACTGTAGCCTATATATGCTCAATGAAATAATAAAATGACAAAGTAGTCTACTTATAACATTTATAAAAAATAATACCGACCCATATTTCACAAAATAATTAATGCACTGGAATATATTGTAACCAAAATACATTATTTAAAAAAGCTGCAGATAAAACAAGGTAAGAATAGGATTTACATTAAACAAAAGGCAAGGCAAGTTTATGTGCATAGCACATTTCAACAAGGCAAAGTGCTTTACATTAAACATAAAAGCAACATAGGGAAATAGACAAAAATACACATTAAAATATAATTTTGGAAAGGGTGAAATAGAAAATAAAAACAGGATTTTAAAAAAACCCAGGGTAAAACAGGACAGTGAAAGTTCCAGTGCAATGTAGAATCAGGGTTAAAAGAGTTAAATGGAAAATAGAAACAGGCTGAGGGGTTGAGCAAATATTGAGTTACAATTATTTTGAAAAGAGAATAAACAGAAGTACACTTAATCTACTCTCTCTAGCTAGACTGTACTCAGGTCCATAGCAATCTTTGGGTCCACTGGAACTCCAAAAACCCTCGGACACTACAATAGTTCTTTTTCACTTTATTGAACATTTACCATTAAGCCTCTTCAAACTACTTTTGTCAGTTTCACTGTCTTGGCTGATGTTCTGTTAATCCATCCCTTGCTATTGTTGCTGGTCTCTTTCATGCTGCTTAACGTGGACTGGATCAAACGTTTGACCACGTTGACCACCGCTTTGAACACTGCAGGAAGGGGTAGCCTACCTGAAAGTAGTATAGTTGCAATACTTTTTCAGTTGTCATGTTATTAGGCCTATTTATTGAGTGCTCTACAACTACATTGTATAACATTGTACCCTATACTATTTTGACTAAAAATTTATGTTATCAGTCATTTAACTGGTGTCAGTCCAAGTTGTGCTTTCTAAACTGAAAATACACAGAATCTACCAAACTAAGTAAAGCTTACGGCCTACACGTGGTCAGTATCGTATAGCCTTTTGCAAATTGTACATTTTAAATAGCCTGTATAACTTTAATGCATTTATACTTTTTAACCAATTGTTTACTGTACATTGAATCTACTTTACTACCCTGCCTGCATCAGTAACTGAGCTTTCTAATTTTTACAGCTTGAGACTGAGGACAAGAACATGAGAGTAGGACCATTAAAGTACAACCACCAGGCTGTGGACAATGATTACAATAAACGGACAGCGTTCAACAGAGGGCATTTATTTCCAAGCAATTATGGATTTACCGAAGATGACAAAATAGCTACCTTTACTCTGACCAACGCTGTTCCACAAGAACGCAGATTCAACAGTGGAAGCTGGAACAGAATGGAGACATGTGTCAAATGTGTTATGGATAAATACTGCATCAACAACAATGAAATTCTTGAAGGCTTTCTGGTAACCGGAGCACAGCCCAGCACCAACAACTTGCTCAACAAGAAGGTTAATATTCCTTCGATGCTCTGGTCAGCATTCTGCTGCTACAGTCACAGTGAAAACAAGTGGCTAGCAAGTGCGCACTGGGGCGACAACAATGGAGATACAAATTCAATGCCGACTAAGACCTTGGCAGAGCTCCACAAAAAACTGAGCACAGGAGACACTTCAGTATTTGAAGTGTTTCCTGGAACATGTCCTCGTGAAACCACTGTCACTGAGTTATACCCAAAACTAGATAAAACATGCCTATGCCCACTACCCATTTCAACTACTGCACCTCCCACCACCACATCTGCCCCACTTTCTGCCTTATCTACCTGTTTGAGATCCCATTGCACTTCAGAGCCAGTGTTCGTGAATCATTTTGGAGGGTTTGAAAAACTTTGTTTGACAGCATGTCGTTCACAAACATTGAGTTCAAGATATCGAATCCAGAGGTGCTGTTTTATATTCTCAGCTCAACGGCAAAACAAACGACTTTATTATGGTAGTTGAACGTTCAGCTGTGTTTCAGTTCAGTAAAACTTTTCTCTACCAACAGTCTTTTTTTATGCATTATTCTGAGCTGTTAAGGATTAATTAATTGAAAAAAAAAATTCTTCGGGATGTTATTAGATGATTTAACCAGCCTTTTCTTCTTCAGTGTGTGTTTGAGTGTTGTTTTAATGCATTTATTTGCCTCATGTACAACATTTTGGATCCCCTCCGTGTTTGAAAGGTAAACTTGCCTCCAACCAAATGCACAGTATTTTATTTAAATATTGTTTAAATCCAGTGAATTTATTACATGACCAGGACCGAACACCAAGGTGCCCATCACCAGCCCATCCAGCTCTGCCAGATGACCCAAAAGGACCTGATCAAGCAAAACAAAATTATATTTTTGTACAAAACAGACCTTTAATCAACATCTCATCAAACATCTCTTTTGAATATTTTATAACATATAGTGGAAGTAAAGTTAACAAACATCTTTAACTGCCATTCTTCCCTGCTTTAAAAGTGTTTATATGCAGTATTTGCCTTTGTTCATTCTCTTTTGATCTTTAGATTTTTCATATATTAAATTGTTCAACCACATATTAAACTGTTTAATCAATTTTATCTTTTGCATGATACTGTTATCTACATTTCATGAAATAAAAATCTCAACTTCCACGTGTGACTGCATATGTGATGGTTAGTACTTAGTGCTGCCTGGTATCCTTTAGTATCCCCACATTTGTTACAGTATGTGAATACATACAATGTTTTGTCGTCTCACACTGTGCAATATCACAAATTTACAAATCCTGATTTCTGATCAAATCTACAAGTATTTGTATTTTTTGGTTTGGGGAAGTACCGCTCATCTTCTCTTATCACTTTAAATGATCAAATAGAAATATTAAATTTAATACTGATACTAATACTAACAGTTTTACATTTTACATGTAACCACACATACTGTAAATATCTTGTACGCAAGACATCAAATTTGTGCTTCGACTAACTTTAAGCAATACATTGTTAAAATCCTTAGTGATCCGATGATTTTTAAAAAACTCCCACTCTTGAATAATTATTTATCTTTCATTTAGTTACTTGACAACATTACTGAAGTCACTTTAATTATCCTCTACTGTAAGTATTTATCAAAAGATCTGTCAGTCAGTGTAAGCGTGAACAGGATTCCTGGTCTTTGTAGTGGGGCTACTATTTGGTTTATATTTTGATCACTGATTGAACATTTCAATTAAAATGAAAAATAGTTTGGATGCTAAAAACATCGGTCCTTATATATTTTTTTTTATGAAGAAATGAAGCCATTACCAGCGTGCACTGGGCAAGAGGTCAGGTACACGCTTTATTACGAGGCTCACATAGAAACCCACTCAGTCACGTGAACAGACAGCCTGTGTTTAGACTGTAGGAGGAAACAAACATAACACACTTAGTTCAGGATAACACAAAGTAAGTTTCTACTCTGCAGCATCTGTTATCTCAAAAAAGTCCCACAAACCAGCTGGTGTGACAAAAAAAACTTCCTGATGAAGAAGAAACCATTCTATAATTGGCATAATCAACAAATTCTACATCAATAAACTCATACATACAGATAGGTACTTTTTTATTTCAAGTTCTTTTCCTTTTACAGTTTCTTTGTATCTAGGTGTCAGATCCACTGCACAGTAATTATTTCATATGAAACAGTGCAAACATACTATAAATATTTTTCTTCTTCCTCTGTCTTTTTATCTTCATTATTTCTTGCTTGAATAATTGTATTCTCTTTGTAGTTTAAGATATGTTGGACAGGAATGAGAAAGTAGCTTCCTCTTCAAACACATAGAGTTTCTTTAAATGAGTCAAATTATTTGAAACTACACACCTACACATGACAACACAGACAGAACAATGCAAAACAAAACCTGTGCAAGTGAGACAGAGCAGATAAATAAAATATAGTTTAAAAAATGCTCAGGTGAGTGTCTAACAATTGTCAACGAGGTTTGGAAAAAAGAAGTTTAAAAAACTGTAATCCACTGTGTTTTATTAAAACAGACATTTAACATTTCTTCAGTTTAATACATTATACATATATAAAATAGACTTCAACACTGGTTCTGCTGTTCTCTCAGGTGGCTCCTGGTTTGATTGTTGAGTAGGTGGTTGTTGTATCATCCATTTCTGAGGAAAAAACAAACACATGCAAACTATTAACAAGCAAGATAATAAAGCTGAGGTCTGCTCTATACCACGTAATGGCTTCACCACTCCCTATAAATATCATGATGTCACAATGGGGTCTAATCGCCAAAGACTATTCGACATTTTCCATATTCATTGTGCTCATGTGAATAAAGTATTTGTTTAGATGAAGTCTCTCCTGATTAAACTGTAAGTGGTGGACATGTTCACTGGAAGCAAAGCAAATCTATCCTCCAAGCTCTCTCTCTCTATGTCAAATCAAATCTTTTAGATAATTTATCCCAGCAGACATAATAACACAGACCTTTACACTGTTGTGAAGTAGCCTTTGTAGAGAAGTTTCACACACATTGGTTAGATTAACTATGAACCCTGTGGACATTTAGAGGGCAATATTTTTCCTGTTTTCTCATTTTCTTACTTTTTGTTTTATATCTTTATTCTCTGATATCCACATCTGTGTTCCATGTTTCATGTATATTTCCATATTCTGTGCTTTTCTTTAGAGTAATGAGACTTTGGTGATGACTCATTATGTTACATTTCTGGATCTGACTTCTGTTTACATCAGTGGAGCTAAGGTGGAGCAGGTAAGTACTTTAGGTTCCTGGGATTCAGCATCACAGAGAACCGGTCGTGGTCATCTCACATCTCCACGCTGGTGATGAAAACTCAGAAACGGCTGTATTTCTTATGGAAACTTAAGAAGGCCAAATTCCTATGCCAAAATCTTGTTAAATTTACAGAGGAGCAATGGAAAACATCCTGACTAGAAATATCACAAACTGGCATGGGGATGTGCTCGGCCCAGAACAGGAGGGCTGTGCAGCGAGTGATTAAAACTGCTCAGAAGATCTTTGTGACATATCTACTGAGCATCAGTGATATTGGTGAGGTGCCTACACAGAATCTAAAGGATACAAAAAGATGTAAGTGTGTGTGTGTGTGTGTGTGTGTGTGTGTGTGTGTGTGTGTGTTACCTCTGTCCTTCTTTGGTTGCACTATCTGTGTGATAGTGACGTCAATATATGACACCTCGGGGTCCATATCACCTGCAGCACCCGCTGGGTTTATACAAATAAGTTCGCATGTTTTTGGCAAATTACAATGAAATAATGTAGAAATGTTCTTGAGCTTTTAGGCAATAAAATAATAATAAGAATGATGCAAATATCAAAATAGGGTTCTGTCGATTGAATCAGTGGAAAAATGTTTTTTACAAAATGTCTGTTGAGCAGCATAATCTTTGTTTATATGTTGTTTCATTTGTATATTGGAAGGTGTTATTGTCTGTGTTCATCAGTTGTTGTTTTTTTGTCTTTACAACTTATTGAAAAATTGGCCAACATTAATGGAAAATCTGAATTTATAAAACATTGTATTGTTTTTCCATTCAGGAAGTCTACACAAGGCACATATCTGCAAACTGTCATCTTGCAAAAAACAACTGAAACAATTCACATAAACTGTAGATTTTAATCGACAAGACTTAAAGACTATACATCTTCATCTTCTTTCATCTTTACGTTCACACAAGGGGTAGTGTATGTTTCTACAAGAATTTATAATATTGCAGTCTTAAAAAACATATTTTTCAGAACGCCTGTAAAATATCTTTGAATTTTCCCCCTCAATATTGTTAACCAAACCTGTGATTTAATCAATGTGTCCAATCTATAAAGAAGTTTTGTGTGACACCAGAACTTAGAAGAACGTTTCCACTTCCAAGTGATGTCAAAAACACAAAACCTTCAGTCACTTTACTAAACAGGAAAATAAAGATTTGATGAATCCTATATCTTCATTCAACTGATAAAAGTAGTGCCACTACTTTGTTTGGTTTATATTTCCTTGACAGAAGAAATCCTGATACGTCAGTATATAATATGTAATTTCATTTGCATGAAAACTGGCTGACCTTTGCGCCTCATGCAGAGGCACAGCAGCATCACCGAGGCTAGTGAGAGGCAGACGCCCACCACAGGAAGCAGAATGTATGCATGAGGGGAGCGAAAAGATTCAGGACGCCCTGCTTCAAAACAACAGATGAGAAAAACCACAGTTTGACCTGAATGCAAACACATCAACTTCACTGAACATGCAGAGGTTACATTAATCACTCATCCTCATCTAACTCCTGGTATTCAGCAAACCATCCCTCTCATTGTTTCACCTTTTTGAAAATGTGTGTCTATCTAGGAAAGGTGACATTGCTATATAAAACTAAATACCAGCCTGCTTTTGCATTTTTTTAAAGACTTTAACAACATGGCTGAAGCTCATCTCACCTCTGACAGCCAGCCAGCTGTCTGGTGAATCTGCAGCTCCAGAGATGTGACACTTGTAGAGACCTTCATCGGTCTTGGAAACGTGCATGATCATGTTTCCTGTAGCGCTCCTCCCGAAGAGGAGGCCATTTTTATAAAATTCAGCTGTGAGATTGGAGGAGAACATTGTCCTGTTTCTACAGCGCAGAGTCACAGCTTCTCCCTCCTGCACAGGAAGGACTGGACTCTCCAGGATCACAGAGCCATCTGGATGACAGAACGACAGAAAGATCAGATAGTCTAGCACATAAACCATTTTTCATATGAATTAAACAAACAAGGCATAACAAGTTCATTTGGGGTGTTTTATTACTTTTGATTAGAACCTGGCTAGCTGTTTCCACCTGCTTCCAGTCTTTGTGCTAAGCTAAGCTAAGTGGCTGCTGGCTCCTGCTACATATTTACCATACAGACGAGAGTAGTTTCGATCTTCTCATTTAACTCTTGACATGGAAGCAAATAAGCAAACTTCCAAAATGTCAAACAATTCCTTTAACTATGTCACGCTATGTCGCCTTTGCTTTAAAGGACATGTTCAGACTGCCATACGACCCAAATCTTTTTTTGATAAATTTGGATTTATTTAAGAAAGTCTGCACTGCAAATCGGATCCAAGCCACATTTTGATGTGGTTTGAAATCGGATTTCAACAGATGCATCTCAAACTAGATGTTGTGGCTGCTCAAAAAGTGTCTTCTGCGTTACTTGAAACGCAACACACCACGACAACGTCATATCCAGGCTGATGTCAGTGCGTCAGAGCGGCTGAGCAGAATTCCTGCTGCGCATCATGAAACTTCTCTGAGACAAATCTCTTCTGCTCAGTTCTGCACTTTGACTTGAGAGATGTGAGATGATGGATCTCTATTTCTCATGCTTTCACGTTGGAAAGCCACTTCACCAGCGAACGTAGTTACTGACGGTCGGATATGTCGTTATCACAGCAACCCATGAAGATAAGTTGGTGAGCCAGTTGGTCTGTCTGTCGGACCGTGTGTGAGTCTGTGTACAGTTTCACAGAGCTGTGAGCACGGTTGCAGACTCTGTTTTTTTCCTACAAGGCCTTATGATGGCTTTTAATGGCTACAGTTGGACGTTTGGTTAGACCCACCGTTCACGGTGATGTTGACGGCACTGCTGCACTCTCCAGCTCCAGACTCACACCAGTACATCCCAGTGTCTGATGGGTAAACGTCATCGATGAAGCACTGGGAGTCATTTCTTTTCCCCCAGTCAATGGAACACTCTTCGTTAATGTTTGTGGCTGTGTTTCTCTTAACTTTCCACTCAGAGGAGTTTTCATGCTCCCCACAGCTCAGCGTGACAGATTCATATCGAAAGAACTGGCTCCTACTGGGGCTGACTCTCAGAGAGGCTGCAAGAAACAGAAAGATGATTTTCAATGTAAATGTGTTCACACTGCGAGCAACAGAGGTTGCAGAGAAGAACAACCAGTGAAACCAATGTGCCACCAGTCACCTTTATTACGTTTAGTTGCTTCCTTGTTTCACTACGGATGTTATTTGAGCAATAAAATAAGTAGATTTTAGCTGCTCAAAGGCCCCCAAGTCTCTGCTTCACAGATCACCCACACATTAAACTTGCTGCTGTCAGTGTAAAGCAAGGATTAAGAACAGCATGAAAAAAAGGCTACATCTCCTTCTTGAAGAGGCCAATAAGATTTATTTGAAAGACAAGATCCTGCGGCCTTTTGAAAAATGCTAATAATTGAATCAGGGATTCATTGGATATTTGGTTGTAAAGGTTAGCGGATGCTTGTGTTGGCCTGATTAATAAGGCTTCTCTTCCTGCACGTATGGTGACACAACTGTAATTAACTAGCAGTTGCTTCAACTCAAGTCAAGGTACAAAGTACAACGTAGATTTATTTGTCACAATAAAACAGGTTATAGAGTGAAATTGAGTTTGTAACTCCCTTCTGCTACGTAGCAGACATTATACATTAATAAAAAAGTAATTATAAAAATGATAAACAGAAATAAACTATCATCAATAGAGCAGTGCTGAGGATGAATTTTAAGAGTCTGATAGCTTGGGGGGAAAAGCTGCTCTGCAGTCTGGTGGTGTGACAGCAGAAACTTTTACATCTCTTCCCAGAAGGCAGCTGGGTGAACAGGCTGTGGCTGGGTGGGTACTGTCCTTTAGTATCCTTTGGGCTCTGCGTAGGCACCAATATCACTGATGCTCGGGAGAATTTTAAGTTAAATAATTTTTCCACCTGTATTGATGTGATTTAGTCAATATATCAGATCTACAAAGATGCTTGCGGGATGTCATGTGACCTATGTCACATGACATTAAACACATGGTTAACGTGAAACGGTCGCAGTTTGGTTAGGTTTAGGCAACAAAAACTTACATGGTTAAGTTTGGGAAAACTTTGTGGTTTGGGTTAAAGTAAGTAAATAACGTTAGTCACATAAGGGGAGTCACAAAAGTAATTCAAGTCACTAACGTTATTTAAGTTAAAACTCAAATAACTTTACATTTACTGGGTTTCACATGGGACTCAAATGCCATTCCCCTGAGTGAAAGTCCAGGGTTGACCCATCCAACCATCCTGCCTCCTTGCGTGGACATTTCCACTATGTATAATACATCACCCGACGTCCTCCTTTGCTACTGTTGTCAGCCATTAGAGGTCGTAGCCACAACGAGCTTAAATAGTAGTCGTAATTACTGGTAAAATGTACAATCACCTCTTTTTCAGCTGAGGACAGTCTTAAATAAATACATTCTAAAGAGCTATTTAGTTCACTACTCCAATGTATTAATCAACTTTGTCTCTAAAATGGTCCCCAAAACATAAAGAACAATGTATTTCCTCGGTTATCGTTTAGTGGCATCAATCCATGAACATATTTTTTGTTTTCTTTTACCACAACAACCCATGCAGATAGGCTGGAGATGTCTGCACACACAAATTCGATATGATCACTTGCAAATAACGGATAATCTGTTTTAAACAAAATCTGATTTGCTTGCAGTCTGAACAAAGTCTAAGAGACTACAAACATTTGCACAAGAGGCAAGAGGCCTTTTGTCAGGACAACATTAATGTTGGCTGTTTTAAGATCATTTCAAAAATGATCAATGCTGCTTATTTTATGGTGAGGCCTGGTGAACAGCTTGCATGTCGGATGTTTTTTGAACCGAGTCTTTGTGTGTCGACTTTCTCACAGGAGTTTGTTCTTAGCCGTGCCAGAGCCATGGATATATGGCGTTGACAAGAATTTGCTTGGGTGAGTTCATATAAAACAAAAACAAAATCTCCAGACATCACATACAGTAACTACAATGGGACAGAACAACTGTTAAAAGCATAAAATGTCAACAAGAAAGCTTAGTAATTATGATGTGAATATTGGTACAAAACTTATTGCTAGTGCTTTGTAATATTAATCTGGTTTTCATAAGGTCATCTACAAGTTTAGTGAGAATTAAAAATACTATACTAGCATGTTCAGACATTATTTAGTATATTTATCGATTAATCTATCATAAAACAGCTGTAAATTCTGTTTTCTAATAAATGCTGAATGCAACATGTAAGTGAACGTAAATAATGAAGGTCATGGACACAATCTACAAACACAGCCTCAAGAGTAGATAAGACCAGTCATGTGAACATGCTTCCTCCAATATTCTGAAATTATGTAAAAACATACATCCTAACATCATAAATTTTATTGTTTAATACGATCTAATCTAAAATCAGAACACAGAGTTCATTCAATAAAACGTACAAAATCAAAAATAGATGCTAACATCAAAAGGCGCTTGCATACGCCCACATTCACACACACATAATCACATTTTAGTCTTGTAAAATCAGAGTGCAGACTGCACATAAACACATTTATTACTCACTGACAATAGCGCACAGTGTTGTGATGTCCATGCTGCTCGGGTCCTGATCGACTGACTGAATGGCAGCCTGAGGGGCTGCATCACACCTCTGAGCTGACTTTTTGTCATATAGGCCAATTGTGTATAGACCTAGTTTGTGCAGGATGTGTGTCAGCATTACATTTTGAAACCACAAGTTGTACTTTCTTTAGTGTGTTTAGGATTTTTTAACCCACAGCAGTAATTATATACATATTGGGGATGGATTGATAAAAAAATATATAAATTAAATACAAAATGGCTATGTTACCACATATTTAAAGCCATGAGTAACGGTAGCCAGCTTGGCTGTGCAGTGAGTAAACCTCAGTCCCAGACGCCTTAAGACAGGGGTTTTCAAAGTCTGAGAATGCAGGCCTCCCCTCAGACAAAGCTTGGGAAACTCTCACACATGTAGGCTATTCTATGTGATGTCCTTTTGATAACTAAGTAACGTCATATTGTTTCACTTTCATTCACTGAGCCTCCCCTGAAACTATTTGGAGCCAACCTCCCTATTTGAAAACACGTGCCTTAAAAAAGTTGACAGAAACTAATACACCTGGTGAAACTGTCAGCATGCACAGACTGTTTGTGTGCACTGTTTATACCCCAGTGGATATGTACAGTAATCAAAAGTATTTCTTTACCATGGGGCTCCCTGTCAGTTTAACTCAGCACGTCGACCATCCCAGACATGCTTTCAAACACGTACACTGACATACTTTATGTCTGACATTTACACCTAAGTACTTTAGAATAATATACCGCTGCATCACATTTTTGGAGCATGAGTGCTTTGAGACATCAAAACAGACCCTTTTATAGTTGTCAGGGTAATCACTTGTACATTATAAATTATACTGTGTGTCAAGGGCTTGTTCTGTTGGAATTTTGATTAGGCTTAATAGCGGGAAACGAAAATCAAGTTCAGCCAGAGTTTGATGAGTTTAATTCATACACGGCCATTAAATGATTAAAGGAGTTACTTGGATGTAGATGTAAACTCACGTTCCAGTATGCCCGGTGGTGCTTGCAATTTAACAGATGGAGTCCAAAAATTCAATTATTACAAAGTTCATCATGATTTTGTCTCTTGAAGAAAGTTTCCTTTACTCTTTTATCTTGTTGTAGCCTACAGCAAGCTTACTAACAAATCAAAAAGCAGACATGTCCTCACTTGTCACTCTCATGTGACAAGCTCCTGTTGTTGTGAGGTTATGAGTCATGGGAATTTTGTTGATAATGTCTTGTGACTTTACAACAAGGCAAACTCATCACCCATGGGAGTGTTGATCTTAAATTTTTGGCACATCCCTATCTTGAAGCAGCAGGAAATGATTGGGGCAGTATTTCCCAGCTATGTGGTTCTATTGATGTGCAGATCGGTAGGATCTGGTCATAAAAATTAACATTCTGATTAACAGCAGCTGGGTTGAAGATGGGTTAAAAAGTATGAATCGTCTTCCCATCAAGAAAGACACTACAGAACTTCATTGATTATTTAAATCTCAGGCTGACAGGATCGGTCAGGAGGAACTGACAGCAGCCTCTCTAATCATTAAAGTAAATCATCAATACAACACACATTTAAAAAACCACCTGGAAGACGAGATGTCACCCATGACCAGTTCATCATAGCGCAGTGAGGATACAGACGTTTCATACAGAAGTAACATCTGTCTGTCTTTCACTGTTAACAGAGACTCCAGTCTGCAGTGTAGTTCACACACTTCACATATAAACCACAGAACTGCAAACAGAGCATCAAAAGGCTTCGTCATCAAAGTAAGTTTTTATATCATGTTCACACTTACTGTAGGTCCATACTCGCAGACTCACTCTCTCGCACGTCCACATAAGCTTTCGCTCCATGTTTATTCGTATTTTATTATGTTTTTTATAACATGCCATTCATGCGCCATTTAACTAGTACAGGCACAACTAGTGTGGAAGCTTTGGTGACATCTTCCGCTCACTCACAAGTACGTAGGAGAAACTACGGTGCCGCTCTGTTGGCTCTTGAGCTTCATAATACCTGTGTTCCTCCATTTGTCCAAATTTCATTTCTCTTCTTACTTCTAATAAACCAGTCGACTACTACTACTACTACTACTACTACTACTACTACTAATGTTACTTCTTCTTCTTCTTGTACATTTTCAACGTATTGATGAAACACACTCTGTAGAGCAGTTTGTCCGTTTGGGCTGCTGTAGAAACATAGCAGCATAACATGCAGCTTCCATGTAAAGGGAACTGCGCTGTATGTAGATAGAAATAGTTCATTCAAAGGTAATAAAAATATAACGGTTCATTATGTAACATGTGTAACATAGTTATGTTTATTACATTGCATTTCTGTCAATAGATTCTCCTAAATATTACACACTGAAACTTTAAATGGAATGGGAGATTGCATATAATGCCTACAACACACCCATGATTAATTAAGAGACTAGACTGAACAAAATGAAAACTTAGTAATGTGGATGTAACTAGGGCCCTGATTTTAATCCTGCACAGTTAAGACACACTGGCTCTCTCTCAGTGGGAAATGTTCAGGAAGCAATACACATTTTTAACCAACAGAAGATCTTATCAAGTGCAGCATACTTTCCATCCTTGCCCAAGAAGGCATCTGGTGAGCCGGTTGATAGTAATTTATAAAGTTTCCTCTTCCTGCCCAAAGCCCTGCCCTGTTTCATACTCAGACGATTCGTCTTTGGAGACTGTGGGAGTAAACATGTGTCACATACAGAACTATTCAGCCCTTTGAAATGTTTTCCCATAGTGGGAAAGGTCAGAAGGCTACTCTGCCTGTCTGTGTTTAATGGGTTATATCCTGACCTGTCAGTATTTCTGCATATTGTTTTTGTTAATTAATTAAAATTTCATCAAAACACGTTTTTTTCATCAAAAGCTACCTGTCAGTTTTGGCAGACATTTGTAGTTTGCTGTGCTGCTCAGCAGGGCATTGCGACCATTCAGGACCATACTGATTATCTATGATGATTTATATTTTTACAGAGTAGCCTGTGGTCTGGACCAGGGTCAGAGGCAGATGTTAACATTCGGGGTCCAGGGGCATATTTTCCCTTTTACGGCAGCTAAATTTACTGTTTTCAAAGCTGTTTGAGATAATTAAAAGCCTTAGAAACTTGACACTATTTGGCAAAAACTTGATAGTTGCCCCCCAAAAAGTAAAATGTGTGAAAGTCAAAACTCAATGCTAACAATTACTGTTTTTGTTCATGAAGTCAACAGTCTGTCATTAGGATATAAACATAATGACTGTGGTGTAACAGTGTGTAAATCATGTGCCTGTCACATCTGTCTCATCTGTCTCTCCTTCTGCTTGGCTGCCTGCAGCTACACTTGCCTTGTCCTCATGACGGTAACTTCTACTATCTACGCTAGAAAACAAAAAGGATTTAAATAGTCGAATCAGAATTGTCAAGTCTTGCCTATAGCCGACTGATTGTCAAATCATGTAGTGTGTTTGTGTGCGGCGATTGCGAACGGGGTTAGGGGAGGGGGGTAACACACGGTAACTCCGCTTTAATCTTGAGAAGCTGCAGAGCTGCATTCTCTATTCATTAGTCACTGTAACTTACACTGTACATTTCCAGCTAAACTGAGCCTTATTGTTGACCCTTTTCTCTACGCTCGCCTGCCATTCACCGGCCTTGCGCAGAGTTTTGCATGCCTGCCGTGCGGCCGACAGTTGGACGCACGTCGCGGTTCCTCGTGGGTCTCTTTCAAGTACTGTTTAAAAATGATATAATATTCTTTGTGTGGTTCATCAACGGTGATAAATGATCCAAACATCTCGGCACAACACCAGTGAAGTTAAGGCTCCGTCTCTACAGCAAGTTCCTCTTCTGCCACTATACACATAGACACTCACAAGTACACGCTACGCCTACACATGCGCACTGATGCCCCCTAGCTTGAGAGTTAGGGTTACAATTCTGGATTTATTAACGCACTTTAAAAAGACAGTCGAATCAGGCTCCGCCCATCGAAGCATCGAATCTTCAACTATTTGGGGTCAGCTCTAATGCACGCTGTGACTTTGTGGCTATAATAACACTTTTGACACAGTATCCACGATTGGTCCCTGCTGTAGCCAAGGCAGAGCTGGAACACTGACCATCTTTGTGCAACAGCGATCAGTATTTAATGTTTTATTAGGCTCTAACTAATCAAAGACATCTGGTCACCCTATAGGGTAGGAATTTGCATAAAAACAGCATTACTAATCTTAAAACCTTTTTTGTTACACTAGTTCACAGAATTACTGTTTCGATGCCAAATTTGCTATATTTGAATCCACACCATAATAATCAAGGCTGCTGTAATAATAAATCAACAGTGCCAAGTAAATGTGGTCTTTATTTCTCTGACTAGAATATTAGACGAAGAACATTTACTCAGCAAACACAGTGACATCTGGTGGCTTGTAATTAATATTGCTGATTGCAAACTGTGAGCTCACCTGACAAAGCGTCGACATAACGATTTCATAAACCGATCAAAGTAGTTTTGGTGCCTAACCCTATCCAAAACCCTGTTCTTTTCCTAAACCTGAAGGAGTTTCATACAGACGCTGAAGGGTACCTTGTGCGACAAATATGGAAGCTTTGTCAGGCTTTCTCAAAGTGTCTGTATTGGGTGTGGAACAAGCTCTCGTGACACCAGAGTGCGATGAGATTTCTCGTTCTTTAAAAGCTGTCACGCGAGACTCACAGAAGTGACATTTTCCACATGTGGTCATGTCACACATCAATTTTCTCATGTAGTGAAATACAAATGCATAACTGATAAGGTCGCCCAGCTGATGCGACACCGGTCTACACCGTGATAGTAATCAAGTGAGCCCGCCCTCGCGCTGTGAGTCCAGACAACCGCAATCTAAAAACTGAAGCCAAACTTGCTTTGTTGCAAAGCTGCACTGAAGCTAACGTGTGTGTGGATTTGTGATGAGATTTCTGAAGTGTTGTGGGTAAGTTAGGGTTTCTCAGTGATCTGAAGGGGATAT